CTTTTCCTGCATTTACCTCATTCGAATCGTCATCTGATTATTATAATTACTTGCCATAGTGATTCTCTTTTACTTTATCAGGGTCAGAGGGTCGACATTGTTCGCGTATCTTGGCGAACAAGTTGAGTACACGGAATCGACTGTCGCAAAATACACCGGTCAATTGTTGTCAGCGTTACAGTGGCTACATTCGCGTAAACAAGCTCACTTGGACTTAAAACCGGAAAATATTTTGGTTGATAGCGAAACTGGTATCGTAAAATTGATAGATTTCGGTGAAGCCATCAGAGCGGTACCACTGGATCAAGTAGTCCCTCCTCCCGTTGATTTGGAATTTGCAGCTCCGGAATCGGTTCTCGGTAAACCAACGGGATCCTACACGGACATGTGGGCTGCCGGCGTTTTTCTATACGTATTATTAAGGTAAATGCGTGATGTTTTATCGGTTAAAATGTTAAAAAGTTCTCTTCTGAAATCTGTTCCATACTTACAGCGGGCTTTCACCTTTCTTGGACGATTCCATCGAAGAAACTACCGCAAACATACTTAAGTGTGATTTTTGTTTTCCCGACGAATATTTCAACGAGATATCGACCGACGTGAAAAACCTTCTTGAAACATTGCTGCGTTTACATGGAGAAGACAGAGCAACCGCTCAATTAATTTTATCATCGCCTTGGTTTAAGGTAACCGTGGATTATAGCAAATTCATTATCTTCCACTCACCTTTTCGCTTGTATTGCCAAGTTATTTTTGCTGAAACTGTAAACGTAGACTAACGGCATCTATCACTGACCGTTTTTTCAAATCTCGAAAATTCAATTATCGAATAACAATAATCATCAAATTAAATAGAAATTAAATAGCTTGAGATTGCGCGATGTTATCCTATCTAATACTAGTGATGGTGTACCGCACCGCACTACACCACACCATTATCAGCAACGTTAGCTCGATAACTAATTATCTAATACGTATTTCTATTCTACCATATATCTGCTCGTAATTTCTTTCAAAAGATTAAATTGCACCTCGATTTTTGTTTCAGATATCGATTGGCGCGACCATCCCTTCCTCTCGAATGGTTGCGTTTATCGAGCGCCGTGCTCATCGCTCAAAATCTCATCAGGATCGGAATAGCAGTTTTTATTCTTGACTCCTTGTCAGTATCGTTTGCAAAAGACATATTTATTGCTGAATAACGTTAAAAGCTATCAGCCGAATTTGGCCGATTGTAAATAATAAACAACACTTGCGATTCGCTGTTGCATTCGCACGCCTATCGGCAATTTCATCTGTTGTGTGCTATGCACGTTCTGTATTATTTACATACATATATATCTACGCGTATATTAAATCTATACAAGCGCGCGCACACACGCGTATGCATACACACACACATATTTCCCTCCCTCTCTTTACCTTTCGAATAAAATAAAAGAAATGTATTTTTTACATTACATTATGTAAACATATTACAATATGTTACGTTATGTAAAGCGCACGTCGTGACCTCTCGCGCAAGAAATAATTTACTTCTATCGATACGTTTCTTTATAGATACCAGTCATATGTTCGTTATCACGAATGTGTGATCAAGTCACATTACTGCTCTCTATCCTCCGACTTTTGTACTTTTTTTAATGTGATTTATTCAATATGACAGTTAAATGAAAGAAACGATAGAATTACTTTAAATGTTTAGCCACGTTACATTGATCCAATTAAAATATACATATTCCTTGCTTTAGTTAATAGGGAGTTATGTTGAAGATTCGACGTAACACGAATGTGCACAATGTGAGATATTTTAGTAGAGCGATTAATTTGGTATTCTTAAATTTTTCTTAATAATCACGAAAATCACATTGTGTCGACCAATAATAATGGATCGAAATAATGAATCTTCTCTATCGTTGAGATGTTACTTTGCAATAAAGAAAACGTTCACTTTATCATGGTGATATTCTTAGTCGCTTACAATGATCTAGTACATGTTGTTCGTATTCGTCCAAGGAAGAAAAGGATTTGTTGTCGCAGAGAAGACACGTCGCGTCCTTCCTATTCATCGAATGACGACGCATTCGATGAACACTGAGTTCCATTGCATCGTGCATTTGCTCGTTGCAATCGGGACAAATCACCATCGCTGATTTTTCGCCATCAGTTGGCTGTTGCATTTCCTCTTCGACTGCATCAGTCTTAAGTGTATCGGTCGAAATAATCGCGCTACTGCTATATTTTTCATCCGGATTCGACATGGAAATTTCATTGGCGGTATCTTTCGGAGATATAACGGAAGAAGGGTATTCGGATTCTGGCTCTTGCTTTATTGTGGCTTTCACAGATGGTACCAATTCATTCTCAATTTTCTGCGAATTATCGAGATCCGAGTGAAACGGTATGAGCGAACTTTCCGGATGAGTTTTCACATGATCGATCAGCTCTTGTTTCGAAGAAAATATTAACTCGCACGAATAGCACGAGTAATTGGTTGTATCGTGCGATTCACATTTTTTAATATGATCTCTCAGTATTCTTTTCTCAAGAAATTCTTGGTGGCAATGTTCGCAGCGATATCTTTGATCTCCATGATGTAAACTACGGTGTTTTAACAGTGACGATTCATTTTCATAGCAAATTAAGCAATCTAAACACATATATTCTGACAATTGAGAATGATCAGTCAATAAATGTGTTTGTAACTGAAGTTTAAGTTTAAATGATTCGCCGCAGAATTCACAACGTATTTCTTGAACCTCCTCCACTGTCGATTTGTCCTCCGTCTTCTCCACTTCTATCTCCGCCTCTACCTCCATTTTTATCTGCAATCCAAGCTCTTCTTTGATCTCAATTTCAGTTTCTGTCTTCATTTCCACTTTCGACGGTTCCGACGTTGCCTCCGCTTGTAATTCAGTCATTTCCGATTCAATTACCTGTTCCTCTGTTTCCTTCTTTTGCGTTTCTTCCTTCGACTTTGTCTCCGTTTCTAGTCTAGTAGTGACCTGCTGGTATCTTTGATCGTTCATTACTTTTAACACATCCAACCAATCTAACTCTTCATCCATATGGCATGTATCAGTGAGCAAAGAAAATACAGTATCACCTTGTCTTTCTTCATCGAGCATCATACTCTGAGATTCGCTCCTCAACGTGGTGGTTTCGTTCACTCTGCTCTCGTACATCTTATTATCATCCAGATTAGAATTAGTAGTACTTGGAACTGAGATTGGTATATGACCGGATCTTTGCCTTGCCCTTGCTCTAGCTGCATAGCCTCTAGTGCGTGGTCTACCTCGACCACGTCTAAAGATACCACGAGTAATTTTTGGAGCACGATCTTGCTGCTGTTGCTGTTCCTCCTCTTTCTCTTTCTCTTTTTCCTTTTCCATTTGTTCACTTCTCATATGTTTACTGATTGAATACAAAGGCTTTTTGGGTGCACTACTTGGTCGTGTATTTGGAAACACATGACGCAATGTATTGTCTGCTACGTAAATCTGTTGAAAAAATTTGAACGATTGTTCCAACTTGTCGACACATTCGTTACACATTTTTGTGGGTAAAGCATCTTCATCGTCGATTTCTATCAAAAGCTTCAATTTCGATAGGAGGCTCATGTCTGTGCTCTTTCCTGTCATCATGCTTACAAGGTTCTGTTTCTTAGTCGCGCACGTTCTACACCACTGATCCACTTCAAGTTCGGAAGAAACATCTTTTTCTGTATGCTGACCCGTTGCTACTTCCTCCATAGAACTTTCTTGATTGTTTAATTGAATTTTCTGAAATTTCATAGAGCTCTATAGAGTAATAGAGTATAGGACATATATAATTGGGGAATCATTTATCCATAATGGAATTTATAAATATTAATTTACGTTCTAACTTGTGTCTTTGTGATTTTCCTTTCCAACAATTATTAATATCTGCTACCAATAACGATAGTAATAGAAACAATAACAATAATCTCAGGAGAAGTAGTTTGTAATAATAATATTAATATTACACTTACACTCGAGCTTTAAAGATTACAATAGAAGAAAATACCTACCCGTCGTGTTTTCGAATTCCTCAATGTCCTCGAAACAGTACTCCAATGCGGAGAAGGGACTGCATTTTCCTTTAGAGTGCCTTTACTAAGATAGCAATCCTCCGTAAAGTGATTATTACAAATAAAAAATCTCATAGACCGTAAAACATCAAGATCACTTCCAATTAGGTCCACGTGACCACTGTTGATCAACCACCTCACACAGAGACCGGTATCACAAACGGGAAGTTCATGAAGTATTTGCTGCTTTTCCCGTGTGTCGACACAATCGATGTATCTGCATTTGGTTACTTCCTCCATTACTCGTAATCTCAAACAACTTGTCAAGTAATAAGAAAAAGAACAAACAACTTCTTATATTCGCTCTTATATTAGTAGCCTTTTGCTCAAAAAAAAGTTGAAAAGCTTTATATATTTAAGACAGGTTAGGCATAATTAAGGCGCGAAAAGCAAAGCTACTGAACGTGCCTGCCATCTCTCGATATCTATTAATACCATTATAGATGGTGTACGTCAGGTTTATCTTTCATCTGTATATGATCTGTATTATAGATGATATATAAAATACTTGTACGCATTAATTGTTGGCGCGTAAACTTATAGAAAATTAAATCGGATTACGAAATTTCAGTATCAAAATAAAAAGAAACGGTAAAGATGATTTCGAAATGTTAAAAAGGTACAATAAAGGGATATTTTGTACAATATTTCCTAACTTTTTACTAGTGATTTGTTATGGATTATACATTACGCATGTATGTGTATATATAGAGAAGGTAGACGTTAGTCATACTGTGTACAACCGTATAGCTTCGAGTAGTATGGTTCGAGTAGTATGTATTCAGTTTCCATGGTTAGAATAACCCTATATGTAAGTATCTATCTAGGTATGTACATATAATCTATATGGATAAAATGTACGATCCGTAAAGGTAAGAGCGCTATCGTCGCGGTAGTGATTGCGATTAATTTACCAACCGTAATAGTAGCGTAAAGAAGCCGCGCGAAACAACGCAACACAGTTACGACATACAATTCGTTCATATCCCAATGTAGTTGTTGTGTTTTTAAATTCATTTCGTTCTAGAGATTATGCATGCAAGCATGTAAATAAACGATTATCGATAGCGTCCAGTTGACAAGTATCGTATTCAAAGAGGGAAACGTAGAGAGAAGAAAGGGTAATAAAGGTAATAACCTTGATTCCAGATTTTCAATACGTGATTAAGAAGACTTAAATTAATTCGGCTTAAATTAATTGGACACAAACGAAACAAAATGTCTGAAAACATCGAGGAAATTATCGAAGAAGAAAATTCTGTTACAATGTTAGATGTACTTCGAGAAGAGAATCAGTTAGAAGAGGACGCGTATGCGGTTCTTGGTGCATCTGATGACAAAAATTGCACTTACAGCAAGGTTTCACTTTTACACAATCGCTAACCTTCTCTAGTAAACAAGTAAAATTTAATTACAAACGAATCATCTGATTTTTCAGGGTTATACACGACAAGCTCTTTACGCATGTAAAACCTGTTGTCAGAAATCAGTACGTGCAGCAGTTTGCCTTGCTTGCAGTTTTCATTGTCACGAAGGTCATGAACTTATCGAATTATATACTAAAAGACATTTTAGATGTGACTGTGGTAATTCAAAGTTTGGAGGAAAAAAATGTAACCTGGATCCTGTATGTTGATTTCTCTGCTATTGTTACATTTTGTGTTCTGTACTTCTTCTTTCTCTTGTTTCATGTTTTGTTCTACTTATAGTCAAAGGATTCACTAAATTCCGAAAACCAATATAATCACAACTTTGATGGCCTTTATTGCATTTGTCAGAGACCATATCCAGATCCAGATGATACTGTTAATGACGAAATGTTACAATGTATAATCTGCGAAGACTGGTATCATTCGAAGGTAATATGCCCTCATACCAGTTGAAATATTATTGGACTAATTGCAATTAATGACATCTAGCATTTAGAATGTGAAAAGGAAATGCCAGCGGATGGTGCATATGATGAAATGATTTGTGCTGGCTGTATGAAAAAGAATGACTTCCTGTGGAATTATGCCAACAAATACACAGGTATACTGGAAAATTTTTTAATGTCTTAGCGATTGTTATATATATATATATATATGGCGATGATTGTAGTATATTTTTATTTAAAAAATACAGTTTTGCATATACATGATTGTAGCTTTGACAACAACAGAAGTCTCTTTCGGTGATAAAGAAGAGGAATTGATTAACGTTGAAAGTGAATCAAAAATTTGTAGAATGCCAAGAAACAATTCTGCAAAACGAATAGTATTACGGGGAAGTTGTTTTTGGACAGAAGGATGGAGAGCTGCTCTATGTACTTGTGAAACATGCAAAGAGGTAAGAGATTTTTTTTCATGCAGCATGAAATAAATCCTCGATTTTCTGTATTCGTAAATTAAAATAATTTTTACGATCGTAGCTCTACCGAGAGAAACATATCGCGTTCCTCCTTGATCCAACAGACAGTGTACACGCGTACGAGGAAGCTGGTAAAATAAATAGTCGAGAATCACGATACGAGAAGGGTATGAAAGCTCTTGCCTCTTTAGGTCGTGTCGAACAATTGACTGCTATCGAAGGTAATTACGAATTAAAGATTTATTCGAGTCGTTCTATAATTTTGTTTATTTTATATTCACGTTCGCTTGTATACATATGTTGGCAGAATACAATAATATGAAGGAACGATTAAAACAATATTTGCAAAAATTTGCTGAAAACAAGAAAGTCGTGCGAGAAGAAGATATAAAGGAATTTTTCTCGGAAATGGAATCGAAGAAGCGACCAAAAGTAGTGATACCTACGTATTGTCGTTGAAATCCATTACTCGAATACTATAAAAATTTGTCGTTTCTAACAAAACAAAAACAAAAAATCAATGTATTTATATATTACTGCAAGCAATGTTTTACTTTTATATATTTTGTTCATTTACAAAGCTTAGTCGCGTGATATTAAACTATCTCGCATCTGGTACAATTTTCAAGTTGTAAATGTAGCAGTGTTCTAATAAATTATAACTGTTTTTTCGATATTAAAAAAGAAAGGGAAAGTGAAGGAGAAGGGAATGAAAAGGACGAAAGGAAATAATGAAAAGTAAGAAGAGTATCTTGTTATTTTTGGAAAATATCAACTTTTTTTTAACGCCATTTAACGAAATGTTTTCCTATGTATATAACGCAGCGTTTACATCAGCAAGTAAAAAGAAACAGTTTGTGAAGCTCCAATATCTGTATGAAGTGCGAGCTGCGTCGGCAAACACCAAACATGGTGTAAAGTACAAACGCAATACGGTTATTATTGAAATTGGATAGTGGAATAAAAATATTATAATTGGTTAAAAGAAACTGTTTATGTGGTGGATTAGAGAATAATAAACATAAATAAATGCGATGTAAAATGAAAAGAAGGAAAGGACTGAATGGATGATTTTGTGTTCTGTGTTTTCTTTTTTGCTAAGAAAAAATAGATTACATTGGAGACGAATTACATCGCAACGTCGGTTTGAGCGGCAAATTACATATCAGGAACAGTCGGTTCGCCGTTTAATCGCAGCGGTATTACCAAAATTGGTTCCGTAGAATTTGGTTTATTCGTATAAATAGACCAGGTTCTTTCAATGCAGTCGAAGATACCTATATTTGTATAATTACTTGATCGATAGTTTGTCAATGATAATGATAGCCAAATTAGACAAAAAAAAGAACGATAAAAATGATTAATTAGAAAACCTACCAGTTGCTATAGTTTTTACAGGGTCGTTTTTATCTTTTTCTTGATAAACTCTATAGTCGTCATCCGTTTGGTCGCTTAGAATATTTATAACATCTTGGCGACACTTTGCTGGAGGATGGTTGCAAATAGCAGCCATTCTTTTGATGCTGCTATCAACGATGAGACCGTCGACTTCGGGTATTTTCAGTCGGAGATACCTAAAAAAGGAAAGAGACAAGGAAAGATTCGAGACGCCAGACAAGAGAAGAAAAGTCATTGTTAAAAATATTGTAAAATATACTTGTTACAGTGAACCGTATTCTCTCCAGGACTAACGGTCAAAATGCTTAATTGCGATTGCGTGCCATTGATCTCGCAAGGACCGACCTCGGCATTATGAAACATTCTATCTCCTTCTTGCATTAGGAAGGTCATATTTACCGAAAACCCTTCTGCCGCGCCGAAACCTTCGTTTCTTAAAATTTGTTGAGCTTGCACGTAATTCTCCGCAGTTAACAATGCCCGGGTTAGGAAGTATCTGGCTGTATGTTGTTATCCCATTTACGTACGAAAGACAGAGAGAGAGAATTGAAAGTAAATTGAAGAAAAATGGTACAGTAGGTATATTTAAAATGTACGTTTGTATCCGATATAATCGAGAAGAGAAACTGAAAGAAAACGCGATACAGCGAGTTAACGTACTCACGTGTTTTACCAGATCTCAAGGTAGCAGCACTAAGCGTATTGATGGTATAAACGAGACCATACTGATTATAACCCATCGTGTATCCTGGTAAAAAACCGGCGTAACTCAAAGACGTAAAATTTTCTTGCTTGCATCCTGGTTCGATTACATGCGCCGAAACTAAATACCAATGATTTAACGTTTCGCTAAGTGCATCCTCATTATGTCCCAAAATTTCCTGTTTTTCGGAATCAACGTGACAAAAGAATATGTAAGATAATTACTATTACGTTTGTCTAGAAATGACTATTAGAGTCAGAACCGGAGCAGAAACAACTATTTTTCTGAGTTTGGCTCGTCGTTCGGCTTACCTGTCCGGGCTGATTGCACATGATGGTCGAACAACCAACCGGTAACGCATTTCCTTGTCCTTCATTTGCCACATTTGGCACGATATCATCTAAATGCATGAGAAACAACTGGAAAGGAAGAAATCGTTCAACATTTTTACTGGATTGAAGAAGGATTTTCCAAGGGAAAAGATATCCCAGAGGAGGTATTTATTGGTTTAAACGAGAGTAGAAAGAAAATATGCGCACGATGTATATTCGCGAGGGAAGGAGGTGCGCGCGCACGTGTTTACACATGTTGGCTAAAAATGCGCTAAGGTTGTCAAAGGATCGAAATGCATAATATATAAGCTTACCTTGTGAAAGGGAACGTTCGCACCGTCGGCCGTTCCTTGAATTTCCTTAACATATCCGGGAAATTGCTGTTCGACGCAGGCAAGAGTCTCCTCGTAAATTTTTCTACCCGCTTCCGTTTCGTAAAGTGGCAAATAGGTTTCATTGAGTGGCCGATACGCGTCGACGAACTTTTGAATTAGATCGGAAAACGTACGACCCTGTGTAAAAAGAAGTTTTCATTGCGAATGCCTGATGATACCAATTTTCAGATTGAGCGAAATCGTATCATTCGTCGTAGTCTATAATAAACTGATTTCAACCGGTTTAGCATTTAGAGATTCCTTTTCCTCCTTCGCTGTCCAGTCTTTCACCACTCACACCCTCGGCCCACCCACCTCGCGGCATACATTATTTTACCAAATCGAACGCAGCGTTCGAGACGGTGACAGCGGTTATTAAAAAGAGAACTTGAGAATATGGCGTTTTTCGCGTTTGGTACATGACGCGACGCAATGCGAAAACGCGTTACTCTAAAATCTGCACATATATTATTTTCTTAAAAGAGTAAACGCCACTGGTTGCAATAATATTGCGTAACCATTGTTACGTAACATATTCAATAGGCTGGAGACACAGGTGTGAGAATGATTTAAGACCGTGTGCGGTCTATTTGGATGCGCGTAAGAACAAAAGAATAAAACAATGGAATGTAAATACAATAAACAGTCATTTTTATAGTATGATCAAACATATACCCGATCATGCAAATACCGAGTAAAAGATAAAAGGGGAAAACCTGTATCGTTAAACGAGTCTCTGAAATGAGACATAATTAACGACCAACGACTAAATAGATTCGCGTTCTACACTTTCTATACGGTCGCTGTAATTCTAATTAATATAATAGCAACCGTATTAGCGTTATCTTCGATTCATAAAATTACGGAAGGAAATTAGTACGATACGTTGGGTATTTGTTAAATAAACACGTATATACGTACTTCGATATTTTATGCAGAATCAGAACCGATTAATAACCCAAGTCAACGATATTTACTTATAATCAGTGATTTTCCGTCTGCTTTTTTGAATATAATCGAATGTTGCGGCATTCGTCTTATGTAACTAATAATTCCGTTTCTTGAGCAGTTTTTTTTTTATTTCCTCTTGTACTATATTCTCGTAAAGATATAAATTCTACGAATACGTTACACGTGTGGCGACCAGATACGATCTAATACAATGTAACAACGATAGAAGAAAAAGAATGAATTCTTACGATATCAAAGCCGACGTCGTAATGAGTTCCTCTGGTGTAAATGATAGGAATCGCTTGCCTCCTTCCGATGTCCTTTGTCTTGCTGGTTATCTCTTGATCGGGCATTGTCGTTTCTGGACAACGAAATGGTTGCAACGTCACGACTAAAATTTCAACGCTATTTCGTTACATATTCGCAAGGTCGCGTTATCTCTTTTAACCCATTGCCATTCGCAATATTTTCCTATTTCCTTTCCAATCGGTTTGCGCTAATTTCCTCGCTCACCGTCGTCGACTCGTCGAGTTTCAGTATACGTTGTAATAACATATTTATATATCTATCAGTATGTTTATTTATACAGCTAATGATAACGAGTCAGAATCGTCGGCGTAGGACCACAAAGGGTAAATAACTGCACCCTTGTTTCTCTCGCGTTTCACTTACGACTACGGATTTTTCAATCGACTTTGTTCGAAAACTCGCGTTTCTTCGATTTTCTCCAGCCCACTCTTCTCTCACTCTTTCTCTCTTACTCTCTTACACTCTTACCCTCTTCTTACTTTTATACCAATATTTGCTAATTTGTTCTTTAACGCGCGAATATCTATCTTTTCGAACGTATAATGCGTCCTCGTTTGATTATCGGACAAGTAACCAACCAAAGTATGTATACCGTGCTGCATGCTATATCGAACACGAATAATTCATTTTCCTTCGCGTGGTGGTCACGATTCTCCTTTGCTCTATCGTTGCAATTTCTCCCTCTTTCTTTTCTTTCGTCGACTGGCACACGATACACGAAACACGATAAAGTATAGAACAGGGTGTCCGAACGAGGTAAATGCACAAAAAAAAAAAAAAAAAACGTAGAGTCAGCGATCGTAAAATGAAAAATTGGACGATTTCGAGAATGCAAGATGATAGAAAATCGATGAGAAAGAAAAGCAATCGGACGCTTACTACTTGCCACTCGATTACACCTACTTGTTAATAGTGTTCGTTCAGTTTATTCTGCACCCGTATTATGTACATACAATTACTGTTCTTTCTCGTATTGTCACTTTGCTTCTTACTTCTAGACTTACCCTCGAGAAAACTCGCAGAGACGCAAGTGAAATATACCGAAACGGCGGAGGTCGCGTCGTCGTTTTGACGGTGATGATCGTCGCGCACGACTGACGATTCGCGATCGGCTTCGCTCCGCTACGAAGACTCCAAGTCTAATCTACCTTTTATCGGCTTACATCGATTAGCGGAGTCGTACGGTATGGATAGTTGAGTTACCTCCAGGGGGAAAGAATTCTTCGAAGTTTAAAGAATACATTGTGCGTTATACTACCACGTTGCCACAGCCACCGGCGATCGTTAATGCTATTACTTTTCATCTTGTCTTTTCCATCCGATCTTTTCACCACGCGATGATATCGAACGGAAGTAAAGTACGCCTCTTTATTGTGCACGACAATGGTACCGATTGCGATATGAGAAAAAGAGTCTCTGTTTTCGATTATCTGTTTTTTTTTTCATTTAATAGCATACTCCAACGCGTATACCTCCGATTACTTTCGATTCTCATTTCAATTCGAATTAATCCACAGCAAGATTCTCTCTCTTCCTGTTTTTCAGATTTCGTAAAAGTAGAAAATAGCAAGGAGGGGAGAATAAGGAACAGGGAATTTTTTATTCTAGTGGATAACAAATAAATTATAATATAATTAGATATAATATAATATAGTTACTGTATATAGCTGTTATCAAGATATGCTATGCCATTAATGCCTGAAATTTAGTATGCTATCGCATTTGAGCAACGATGCTTATTAGGTTCACGTAGACGTACGTTGGATTAGACGAATCGAGATCTCTTATCAGAAGCAGAAAATCCCTTACCACGGCGACATTTCACGAAAAAAAAAGGAAAGAGAAGTAGGACAGACAGATTGCAAGAGGAATTGAGAAACGAAAGAAAGCGATCTGGTTCTCGCGAGAAGACGATGAGAAGAAGAATGAGGGGGGAAAAGGGAAAACATGATATAGTATGGATATCTGTGACATAAAATCTAATCGTAAAACACGATCCAATATAATTATTCAGTAAGGCATAGTTGCAAAAGAATCTCATAAGCATTGCAGCTGACAGTCAGCCGCTATTCTGGCTTCCAAATACGGCTATATTTCATGTCTATAGATGGACGAGAACCAGAGCTCGAAGCTGTTTTACGGTTTCCTCTAAAATCTCATCACTGGCGATTTCCTTCTCTTTTATCAAATCTATATCGTTTATTACACACACGCAAAACCTAAACAAAAAAGTAACAAGTGCGTAACAACCTCGACCGTTTTATTAAATTTATTCGATTATCTTTCCTAATTAAAACTCACAAAATTCGTGATATTCCACATAATTATCGTCATACTTAAACCGTAAATTACGTATTCGATAGAACAATGAATCAAATTCGTACAGCACGAGCGATCAGTAATTAGCAGTGAATAAAGTAACGAGTACATATTTCTTTGTTTTTCTCTTATTGGCATTGGAGGCTTGTTACCCTGTTTCACATAAGAAGATACTGTCCCATGAAGAATGCAAATTAGAGGTTATTTTCTAGTAATTTATTAGTATACATGTTTAATATAACATAATGTATGTATATCTAAATATATACACGCGCCAGTGTATAGGTGTGTAAATGTGTGTGTGCGTGTGAGCGTGTGTAGATGGATTTATGTAGAGTGTCTGTATAATGTTTCTATATATTTATGTATATCTGTACATTTTTGGAAAATCGTGCGCGACATTTAAACATACCTAGTAAAATACGTACATCGAAAAATGTACACAACAACATCTTTTCCACATTTGGTCACTTTGAAAACAAGCTATATCCGTTTACAAATCCTCCCCATTTCTTTCTCATTGCATGTTCTTCATTTCCGTTTGTTGTCGTACTCATTTTCTCGTCATTCATAAAATTATACATAATTTTATTCATACAAGGAATTACATGGAGGAAAAGTAATAACTTTCTTCTTCTTAACAGGAAAAGCAAATGTTGTTTGTATTTTTATAACAATAACTTACTCCCCACAGACAAAGATTAAAACAGAAACTTATAATTAGTGCACTGTTATAATGCGATACGAATCAAAGACATTTCTCCTTTGAAATTTCTAAAATAGAAGAACCAGACACAAAGAGATGGTAAATTAAACAGCTGGTTATCGGCAGAAGGGATGCTGGAAGGTAGAGAAGGGGAATTATTGGAGAAGGAGAAACAAAGAGATGGAGAAAAACCTTCGCTTCGTAACAAAGACACTTTCCTGACCCGAGTTCAAACATCACTTTTAAGCAATAGTATACATACATACATACATACATACATGCATACATGTATACATACGTACGTACATACATATACATACATACATACGTACATGCGTACATACATACACACATACATGTATGCATGCATACATACATTCATATATACATACAGAGAGACATATATACATATGTGTGTGTGTTCGTCTGTCTAGTGTATTACCCACTTTGCGGTAGAAAATAATAACGCCTAAAAATTTCCTCCACTTGGATTTAATATAAAAGAAAGCAATCGTTAAATATCGGATAAAAAGAAATACGGTTCTACGAGAATGAGTTACATAGCCGGTGCTGTCGTGCCCGCGTCTTTTGTCTTACAAATATGCGTTTAGGTATGACGCACTATTATTCCGATATCAGAATGGCAGCATTGATTCTGAAATGGTGCGTATATTCAGTGAAAACTCAGTCTTGTAGAAACAGTTAGTCTCTTGAATTTCGGCAAGTAACAATAGTCACCGATACAAAATTGCTCTGCCGCAAACACTAGGCATTATTAACTTTTTTCTCGTAGGAACGAAAAGACTGAATTCCCGAGAACATTTAATTTCCCGGTTGACATTTATGATACTCAACACGCTACTGCTCTGCTGTGTTTAGCTGCTCGTTGAGCAGCTATTCGTTGACTTCGTCTTAAAGTACGCGGAGGTGATTCTGCGTCAGTTTCCTCTTCCGAATCGGAATTATCTAGTGCTGTCTTCCCAGCATATCGCCAACTAACAATTGCACCATCCCACTGAAACAGAATGTTTTCTTTCGATCGTACTCTTCATTCTCATTTATACATCCCACTGCTTACTAATATTTATATTTAGATGTACATAATAATATCTACATATAAAACTGAAATATGTATAATATATAATACATACAGATGTTGAAACAATTTCCTGATGAAATGGATGCCAACTAACATCACGCACACATCCTTTGTGTCCTACTAAACTACTAACTATCCTACCCGTCAAAACATCGTAAACTGAAAAAAATTAAAAATCGTTTATGAACTTTAAAATTTATCGCAACGCAAAATTCGCGTGATCGTTCGAATTCCGATACAAACACAGTGCAAACTTACGTATTACTCGGCCTGCTGCGCATCCGGTGTAAATATACCTTTGACCGGTAATAGACGAAGGTGAAAAATGACAACGTATTAAAGTTTGAAGAACGGAGTGACCACGATAGGTCATAATGCTGGTATCACCTTCCAACATATTTCTCGCTCTATGCACTGTAACGGAAACGTAAAAATCTTTGCATAATACTGCGACATACTGCGCGATAATCAGTAGTTATTCTTTACTAACGTCGTTTTGGTACTCGTTGCCATCGATAATCCCAGTTTTGATTTGCAACAGCTTTACGTGTATTTTGTTCTCCGTTATGATCGGAAAACGCACGTACATCCCATAATTTGATTGTTTGATCTTTACTATTGGTAATCAAATAACGGCCATCACCACGTGGATCAATATACGTTATCCCATCCATATGGCCAGCTAATACTCCAACCGGATGTGGATCAGTTTCGTTTAAAGTTCTTCTGTCCCAAACCTAACAAATCAAAAAGAAAATTTATCATAATGTATGGGATACATTATATCACAATGTGTGTCGTATATATGTATAATTCCTTTCATAAAATGGTGATAAACACCTTGCAGAGGCCATCATCACCAGCGCTGTATAGGATTTGAGAAGTATTGTCCGCAAAAGCAACCGTATTTACATCGTTGTCATGACCTTCGATCTAGAAAAGCAGGGAGAAGAAAAAAGAAAAATCTGTAAGGGATAAATGGTGGAACATTAACTTGTGATAATGATATACAGACACATACTCTGAAAGCCCGTTGATGACACTCTCTGTCATAAACGTAAAGATAACCATCGTTTGCTCCACCTAAAATCTCTCGGCCATCGCTAGAAAATACAAGCGAAAATACGCAAAATCGTCGATCCTCTGGACACAGTGATAAGGATTCTTGGGCACTCGAATCTCCATAAACCGGACAGAGATATACTGGAATAAAGAAAGTAAGAGACAAGGAATGATAAGAAAAACTTAACCCATTTGTATTGTTTCAACAGCATACTATATACTTATAATACTTACAACATTCCGACCAACTGGAATAAACGATATAATTCCCATCGGGACTGAACGCTGTGTCTAGGATACTCCAACCTACGTCACGTGCGGGAATGGTTTTGAATTGTACAAAATCTCCATCGTGTGTTCGGTAAAGACGTAAAAATTTGTCTGTTAAAACATAGAACGTTAGATTCGATAATGTGAAAAATCAAAACAATTTATGGAGAGAGGATTTGCTCCGAATAGAAAGACAATTTCAATATATGTAACTTGCCTTGACTGGCAGTTAAGAAAAATCTTCCATCTTTGGAGTAAGAACCACAAAATGCTTTGGTATTATATTTAGCAACCTGATGCATCTTATTTGGTAAAAAATTGCTACTTATTCTGCACCGTTCACCTGTACTAAAACTAGGACCTAGAGCTCTTCTTTGAATCATCGATGTGACAGAGAGGTTACGCTTATCAATATTATCTATAAATCCGCATGCTTGCTTTGTAGCAAGACTTATTTCACTTTTCTAAAAACAAAAAAGAAAACGACAACGAGAAGAACATAGAATCTGAAACAACAACTGAAAGTAACGGCTGGTGAGCCGCATATTTCTAAATAACGAACATCTAGCCTGGATGTATTTGGCAAAGACGTAATTCTTGGAGGTTGTGAATTTGCGGCGTATTCCTCATCCGAGTCATCATGATCCGAAGATATGATATGTAATTGACCGCTGCAACATTCCAGAACGGAAATCCGTTAATAATCTCGATTGTTGGGAGCTGAACTGCTTGCTCGAGAAAAGACTAAAGGAACGGTGAACGAGGAGGTTAGGTTATCCAAAGAGACAAGACAGATGAAAATATTCGATTATCTTGAGAAAACAGAGAGAGATACGATAAAAAGAGGTAGGATTTCCTCACGGAAAACGAATGTTTCGCTTTTACAAAAGCGAATTATCGTAGCGCGGATCTATAATAATAACAAATTAGAGGAAGAGGTTAGAATTCCTCCTGCTCTCGTTTGTTCATTCTCTCTCTCTCTCTGTCCTTCTGTCATTTTTTCAACTTCTCTTTTCTGTGGAACCTCTATGCCTTTTCTGTCTCTTTCTATCAACGGTCATACGTATACCACACGTTCATAGGAAAGATCCACAATGATACTAAACCTTTCGCCTATGAGATAACATTGAACCAACCTGCGTATTAGATATTGCAAGACAGCAGCAAGTCCTGGATCATGTTCAATATCCATATTCCGTGAACTAATGCCTCCCATGCAGCGTGTAAACGAATCTTATTTACCGTCTAAAAGCAAACAAGGAAAACGTCCGAGGGTTGATGGCGTTAGTGCAGTGACTATGACAGTTGAAACAGACGATGACAGGAACGGAGAGAGCGCGTGAGAACGGAGAGAAGAGGGGAGAGGAGAACGGATCGTGATATCTTGTTCTTCAACGGTTGCAACACATGGAAAAAGAAAAAGTTGTTATTCGAAAAGTAATAGATTGCAATTGTGATTGCCGGACTATAATAACACATACACATATATGTGTATTGTGTACGTGTAGAGTATGTGTAGATCGAATTCATCGAGCGAATGAGGCTGAAAAGGAAAAGGGTTAAAAAATTAAAGGGGGAGGAGGACGAAGGCGCGAAACATATTTAAACGTTGTTATACGAACGTTGAAATTTCGACATTAAGCATCAATTAATTTGGAACATTTTCAAGCACGTTCACAAACACTACAAGTAAAAAACTCTATATCCGATTCAGATATTCTACGTATCTAGCATCAGTCAAATAAAAAGAAGGAACTTTATGACGAGTTCCAGTGATTTCCGAATTTTGCGAACGTATTTTTTCGGAACAACAAACCATTTCGAATTATTGGGCTTTTAGGACAAATACGATAGGATAAACATTACAGATAAATATTATAACGATACTAGAAAAAGATCAGAAAATTTATTACGCTTACTAGATCTGTCACTAGTTGAGTTTAAAAAGTTGAGCGAGACTGATCGGAAAGCGTTTAAATTGCGCTGATCGAAGATAAGTCAGTGAACTTTCCTGTTCAGGTAAATTCAACTTGATTCCTATGCGCATCGAAACATTCACGGTGCATAACCATTGGCTAAATACAGAATAGACCTGACATCCAATGCATCTTCATGTTCCATGTTTTGATTTAAGGGTCAGCTAACAACCTAACTATTACCCCCTTGCTATTATCGTGTCACACGAGATATTATTGATTCCGGTATAGATCCCTGAACGATAACAGAATGTGTGCTACGATATTCCCTAAGATTGATTCCAATGTTGGTCGTATTACAGAACGCGAGACACAAAATCCCAAATAATATCATGTCTATTCTATACTTGATCTAGTTAGATAGAGTTAATGGAATGGATTACGAGCACTCATACATATACTATACGTACGAGATCCCATGATGCCGCGTGAAATAACGCGTGATCGTGGATGTATTGTAACTTTAGTATGTAGCGTCACCATTGTTCGACTAATGTACTTCATTCTCCTGTATTCTGTTTTACCCTCGCAGTACGCAACACTTTGCCAATAATGGACACAACGTGTGTCGCGGGCGAAAGAGAGTACAGGAGAGTAAAGTACATTGAACAAACGATAGTGGCGTTACATACTAAAGCTACAGTATGACCACGATCCAGTTGCATAGTATGTATGTATACATATCAATGATATCAACGATTGGTAATGTCGATCGAGTAACTGTAAGCTCGGTACATAAAAATAGGCAAATTTCAGTCAAATACGTACTGTACGTACGTATTTTAACAAGGCGATGAAAACGACGCGGTTTTCGCATAGATGAAAAGAAAATGTAACAGATGTTATATATATCTTTAACAACATGGTATACCGAAAAATTGCAAATGTAGTATATATTTCTTTTCTAATAACACGTATAGGACACAGATTTAAATGGTTGGATCGATAAGAAAATCTGTAATGTATAATATACATACACGTATACGTATGTATTCATTATAATGTATTCATTACATGCATATACATATACGTATAATACACAGGAAGGAACTAGAACTATTTTTCTTTTTCCTAATCGTTTCCTGTTTCTCGTTGCGCCCTCTGATCTCTTGCCATCTCACACTTACAAATTGTAATCTGTAGTTAATACGTAATCCGTAAACCGTAAGTTGCGACATATGGTAACCCCTATCGACTAGTCAATTCCCCCTACCTTCGGAGCAAGTTATCGCATCCCCTAACCCCGGTCTCCGGTCCGGTGTCCCGTGACCCACAGCTACCTGCAGTCTGCAGCTACCAGACCTATAATTTCCAGGCAGAGGCTTACACCCTGGCCAGAACCGGAACCAAGCTGAAGCCGAGGTCGTGGGCAAAGCCATAGCTCAGCCGGGATCGGAGTGCGCGCATGCGTCTTTTTATTATTTTCTTGCGACTTTTTCGTTCTCCTATCGAATGTCGACAACGTTAATTCGCACGTCGCGACGACGATGACGACAAGGACGACGACAACGAAGACAACAACGACGTCGACGATGACGACAACGGCAACGACGATGACGACGATGACGACAACGACGATGACGACAACGACAACGACAACGACGATGACAACAATAACGATGAAGAAGACGATGAGAACAAGAAGAAGAAAGAGATTGAAAACGAACACGGTATCAACGTTATCGGCTATCGCGCGAATATCACCTTACATCGTTATTGCTACTGGCAAAAATAGAAGACGAAAACAAAGATGGGAGCGAAGACGAAGACGAGAACAGGGCTAGAATTAGGGACAAGGACAAGATCAACAGCAGCAACAGTTAGAAGAAGAAACGACGACTACTACGTGGACGGCGGTCACGACGAAAAGAAAACAAAGAAACAGAATCAAAACAAAAACAAAATGAATAAGACGAAGAGAGGAAGAAATAGAGAAATTTGGATAAAAGAGAATAATCTTAGTGGAACGGTTGTCGAGATGTGCAATATCGGAAGCGATACGCAGGAAAGATAGGTTAGAGAAAAGCGAAGGATCCGATTATCGGTAGTAGTGTCGAAAATTATATCTGTGTCGGTGGTGATGCAGTCACGCGTCAATCGTGGCCGACTGTTCCTTTGGATTGCTCGCGCGAGGTTCGCGCGGCGCGCGCGTGCTCCGAGCCACCGCGCATCGCGCATTACCCTTCTTTCAGTTTCTTCATGCTTATAGTGCTTCTATACGCGGTACACGATTCCCGTTGTCGTCGGCAACAGGTGAGCCATTCCAAACCTTCAGCTGCCTTGTGCTCTTTTTCCCCGTTTTTCACCAATCATTTTCGCGCTGTTTCTTTTCTTCTTATTTTCTCTCTCGCTCTCTCCTTCTTTCTCCCCCAAAGTCTCACTCCCCCTCTCATCTCTTTACCATCTTGTTCGATTTCTTTTTCTTTCTACTTTGTCCGATTTTGTTCTCGCTGTTCCAAGATCTGCTGTTTTATTGAAGCTAACCGACTATTCTATTAACACGGTGTTATGTAATTAACGATACGACGTATTACCGCTATTTTTGAATAATTGGCCGAACAATAGGCGAATTACACTCTAATCGATCGCGAGTTTCCCCGCGAACTTGTGCCAGAGGAATCGTGTTTCAGTTGACCACAGTCGCTCGAATGGTCTAGATGGAATCGCCGACTAACCCGCTACCTTAATTAACTACCATTGTTGGCTGTCGACGAACGTTCAAGCTGCCCCTTTTGACATTTGACAACCACTTTTCCGACCATCTGTTCGGTATTGTCGTTCGAAACCGGCACAATCATAGATTTTCAATCACAGATCAAATCATAGATTTTCAATCACTTCGCGCTCAAACGAATCTCAACGTTTCGCTTCGTTCCGTTCCGTTATCCGTTATTCGAGAAAAACGACATACTCTTACGTGAAACGCGTTATTCTCTTCCCATCCTGATCCTGAAATCGATTCCAATTATTTGCAATTCTTTACTCGGTGCTAATGTGATGAATTTTGCGTGACAGCATCTTGCTTTCTCTTACCGTCCATGACCGAAACAAACTTTGTCTCTGTCTTGTCTTTGACGAATCGATAATATATGTGTGTGTATGGTTGTTAGCCGATCTTTAAACTTGCTGCGAATTTTTCCGAAACTGTTTAAATATCGAATTAAAATTCAGGAAAAATCATCGAGTCCTCGAATTTGTTCTTATTTTCCATTTATTATTAATATACACGGCAAATGGTAAACAGCAATAGCGACATGTTACCAATTATATTTATCGAAGCAAGAAATAGAAAATAGAACGAACTGATGAGAATAAATGAATATGCTGGTAGAAAGTCGATTCCTCCCCTCTTGACAGCTGTGCCTAATTCGAATGTGTCCGTTAGCCTGTTCGGATTATGTTTATTCCTGATTGCGCGACCATTCGAAACGTAATGAATCCGACTGATGCGATCCAATTCGATTAATCTCTCGAGTTATACTCGTTGATTGTGCAATGTGTATAGAGGATTGCCTACGAAGGTACGAGGTGGTAAATCGATAAGGAGTTGCGTAAGGAGAAACGAGAGGAGCCGCGAGACGAATTCACGAGAGAAAGAAAAAGACTGTGAATGGGCAGATTAGTAAAAATGTTGCTCTTGGTATACCGATTGATGTATATCGATCGTTGCACGCGCAGAATAATCGATTAAATCGCCGCCATTATTGTCATCGTCGTCGATATTGACTCGCGATAGCGAGTAAAAATGTATCGATCTAAGAATACGTTTGTGCTTGATAGTCCAGCAGGTGTATCCGTGGGAGAAGCAAGTGACTGGAAGAGGATAATCGAAAGTTGAGAAATTTGGCCGGAGCGAAGCGATTAAACAAAGTGATTCGATGAACATTGAGGATTAACACGAAAGTCGTTATGTTTGCCAAGTCGAAAAGCAGTGGCTCGACACCGAGCGTTATACTCCCGAATCCCCTTCAAAATTTATACGAAGTCGGCAAACAATCGGCTACCGCGGGCCCCGAAAACGCTTGGCGCATATACGACGGATACACGAAAACCGATCGAAAGGTAATACAATTTTTCAACGACCAGCGTCCATCTTCTCCCCCTCCTTCACTCTTTCCCCCTCGTTGTTGCCCGTTTACTTGCTTCTTCTCTTTCGTTTTAGGAAGTGTCGATATTTTTCTTTGACAAAAGATCGGTCGATAAGCTGCACAAACCGAAACGAAAGGAGACCGTAACGGAAATTTTACGGAATGGAGCACGACAAATGGAACGATTCTCTCATCCAAAGATACTGCAAGTAAGAGATCTCTGTCTCTGTTTTCGTCGGATACACATTTTTTTTCACAAATGCACGAAAAATCATCGTCGCTCATTAATATCTATCCGTTTAGGCGTTCAAGGTGGAGGAATGCGCGGACAGTTTGGCATTCGCGTCGGAACCAGTGTTGGCTAGTCTTGCCAACGTTTTAGCCTATCAGGAGCAACAAGCGAATAACGTTGGTCAGTCGACGAGTAACGTAACGAAACAAACTTCCTCGGTCGCTGGTCATCGTGCAACGTACGCGAAAGAATACGAGTTGCTCGACATCGAAATCAAGTATGGGTTGTTGCAGGTGAGGAAACCGACTGGGGCTCAATCTAATTTATGCTCATGTCATATACCCTATTATAATAATAATAATAATAGTCTTCCTTTTCTCCTCTTTCTCTCTCTCTTTTTTTCTTTCATTCAGATCACGGAGGCTCTGCTTTTTCTTCACGGAACCTGCAAAGTTCTTCATAGGAACGTTTGTCCTGCCAGTATTATAATAACCAAAAGGGGTACTTGGAAATTGTCAGGGCTGGAATTTATCGGTGAGTCTGATCGCACGATCTCGTTCGACGTGCAGTTTTCCAGACACGATCTTTCGCGATTCGTTCGCTTTTTCTTGTCGTAGAAAAAGTTAACGAAGTACCGATGATACCATTGCAACCTTGGACTAACCGCATGCCGAAAATGACGCAACCGAATCTCGATTACATAGGTAAGAATGTAAAAATATCCCGATCTTTTTTCCATCTACTTTTTTTCTCTTTTCTTTTTCTTTGCATTCGTAACGCGTTTACACGCTACAGCTCCGGAAGTGCAACAAAAGAAAGTGGGAGGCTTCTACAGCGATATGTATAGCTTTGGTATGACGATATGTGCAATTTTCAACCAAGGACGTCCGTTGATTCAAGGAAATCATAGTTGTTCCGAGTACCTGAAGCAGCTGGAAAACGTAAGCAACTGTTTCTACGTAGTACAGTGTTCTCGTATTATCTCGTGTTATCTCTTAGCTATCATTGCACGTATCTTTAATTCTTTTGTAATATATTTAACCATTTATTTCCTTGTTCGTCGTTTCCTTTTCCATTGCCACAGCTGAAAGAACAAGTTGAGGTTATACTACCTCTAGTTCCTCTTCCGCTACGAGAAGCCGTTTCCCGACTGTTACACGTAGATCCAGAAAAGAGGCCGACCATTCAAGTTTTATCCATGATCAAATATTTTCAGTACGTAAATACGTTTCTCTCGAACGAACATTCTACCTCCTTTGTATTTATATTGTAATTATTCTACGCGAAATCATCTTCCACTTTGCTTTCATTTTGCAGAGATCCACCGGTATACGCGCTTCAATTTCTCGACGTTAGCAAAATGAAAGACGTATTACAGAAAGAGCATTTTTATACGACTACTTTGAAAGGAATATTGCCTTATATACCAAGGGTAATTCGTACAGTATACATATAAAATAGATTCACGTATAACGCGATACAATATAGTGTAACGATATAACGTAACGTGGTGTAATAAATGTTAACTACGCGACATGAAACACCATATGAAAACAATATATTTGAATCAACAGAAACTTTGGTATCAACATATCTGGACGTATTTGCAAACTGAGTTGGAAAGTCAAGAAGTGCAATCGGCTGTACTACAACCGGTACTTTACATCGTACAAAATAGTACACAAGAAGAGTACGATCAAATTGTATTTCCATCCTTACGGTAAATATTATAGAAAAATATCTCTGTCTTGTTTCATTCGCGAGTTTATTTGTTATTAATTGGCGAATGGAATCGTCGCGTAGGTCGCTCTTTTCGAATCGGAAATCGATTCAGGGTACGGTAACGCTGTTGGAAAATTTGCATTTGATATTAATGAAAACGTCTCGAGAATATATAGAAGGTGAAGTACTTCCAATGTTATACACATCTTTCGAGAACTCAACTACTCAAGTACAGGTATGTGTACACAAGTGTATGTCAAATAAGAAAGAAAGCGAATAGAAGAAACAGAAATGGAAAAAAGAAGAGGTGAAAGAAGTAATGCGTATTAAATGGTTCGTAGACCGCAGCATTCGTAGCTGTATCGAACGTGACCGACTATATAGACGACGAGTCCGTTCGAAATATCGTACTGCCGAAACTCCTTCAGGCGTTTGAAAAAAATTTAATAGATTCCCGAGTACTAATGAACGTGATCCCCTGCATTTTAAATCGGTTAGAGAAGCAGAAAATCATCGATTGCATCTTACCGTTGTTGTTCAGTGTAAAGCTTCAAGAACCGGAGATAATCGTTCGGGTTGTACGTAAGTACACACGGTACATAAGTACGTTTGCATACTTCTTCCCCGATTGAAGCTCTTGGGATAGTGGTTGTATTTGTTTCGAATAAAAATCGCGTCCATGCTTTATACCTATGTATATATAGATAACGTGTAACCGCGTCAGCGTTGATCCACAGCCACATAGATGAATATGTAACGTAATAAAGACAACGATTATTCTGAAGCTTTTAAACGGGGTTGTATGCGTATACGATGCACTTGCATTCCCACGATCGTCCTCGTTGTTGTTGTTGTTGTTGATTGATGCATATTCGATACTGAGACCAATGTTACGATTCAACTCCGACAGAGATTTACAGATTGATGTTAACCGACAAAAAGTACGGACTTTCTGTCAGCTGGATGGCGACTCGAGCGATGCCTTCTTTGCTACCTCATACTATCAACCCGGCACTGTCTCTCGAACAATTTGAATTACTTCTCAAGGTGTTACAAGATATGCTGAATCACATCGAAAGGTGATGAAACGTTTGTTACAGATAATATAGATTTTACGTATAACTTGCGAAATTTCTACAAAGCATCGATAATCGCTGTTACACATTTTTTCGTTTCTTCTTTCGTTTTTGTTTCGTCGTTTCCTTTGCTTTTTTGTCCTTCCGAACAGAAATCAAAGGAATCAGTTAACCCTGGACAATCTGTCATTGTCGAGCCCGGAACGATATCGAAGTTTACGGCATCAACATAGTACGGATAATATGTACGTCGCGCCTTTCAACATACCAAACTTACGGATCGAGCAACGTAAAACTTCTTCGGCCGAAGACATGGCTCGGAAAAATAGCACAAGTAAGAATGGCACGAAAGAAGCAAATAACGTTGGAAATGCATGTATAGGTGGAATCGCAAGTCGCCTGATTTTATAATAAATCCCGCTATTTTGTAGATTCGATGTCGTCGACGGTTTCGGCGGAAAACATGGCGAGAAAGAACTCGATGATAAGTAAGTGATTTTTCACGTATGCGTAATGGTACTTTCTACTACTTTTATAGACGAACGTTGTTCTTTAATAATTTCAACATTGTTCGAATCAGCCATGTTCAGATGGTTCTCGTCCTCGAACAACGACAACAGTAATTTCTTGAAAGTGGCGAATACCTTTACGAGCAGGCGGTTATCGGACAACACTCTGATGACACCGAAAATCCGAGTAGCACCGTCTTGCGAAAGTTCTCCAGGTGTTACACCCGGCGATGGATTACCAATCCGGCGCCATTCGAGTACCGGCCCTCAAGATCGACGAGGATCTAATATAAATTTATCGCCTCCCTTGGTATCGTACCTTTGCCATCCTATCGTTTACCCTGTTATCCTTTTTTCTTTCGGTTCGTTGTTTCAATTAGGAAAGGATAAGAAGAAATATGTAAAACGTAATAAACCAGCAAACAAATTGACCGTTTATAGTAAAAAGTGAGAACTAGCTTTCGTAGAGAAGCAACGGGACAGAGAAAGAAAAAGAAAGAAACAAAGAAAGAGAAAAAAGGGGGAAAAGAGAGAAAGAAAGGAGGATTGCAGTAAGGGAGTATTAAAGATGTGATTCTCTCGATAGGGTGGAGGAATGCCGATTACCAGTAGCAGTGTACCATACTTGGTTAGTTCAAGCATGAACAGTATACGAGGTTCGAGGCGTCCGTCCGTTTCTTCGACGTCTTCTCAGCAAGGGACCGGACTTCTACAGCAGGTTGGCTCCAGCATGGTAAGACAACAACCCCCCATCTGCCTCAACCTCAATGGACTACCACCACCACCACCACCACAACCACAACCACCAACACTTTCTCCATTACTCCAGCTACCGGGACAGCCTTTCCACTGACCCTTCGTTACAGCTGCAGCGTAAGAATATTCACTAGCTTATCCGAAGACGTCGCCGATGCTCTCTTTTCTTTTCTTTAGTAATATGCGACTCGTAGATCGATAATGTCCATCGTTCTCGTCACGCTGTGTCTTCTTTTCTTTCAAAAGAGAAACGAAAAGTAGAGAAAAGAAGAAAGAAAAAGGAACACCATCTCTGTGATTACGACGTAAAGTGAATATCGTTCACGGTATTCACGTGTATTCACGTAGTGGCGCATTTTGCAATTTGGATAGTTTGTCAAGCAAAAACATATACATATCTTTTTTTTACAGCAAACGAACAATTCCTGCTTATCCTACTTTTCTCCCATGTTCTCTCTCTCTCTCTCTCTTTTTCTCTGTCTCTTTTTCTTTCATTCAATTTTTCACTAGTTCGCTCGCTCGCTCGCTCGCTCGTCCAGTTTTAATCCTTCCTACCTCTCTCTGATTGCCTGCTCTGATCTACTACTCATAATCTATCGAATCTTTTATTGTTCACGATCTTCCGATTTCCTTCGATTTACGTATATATGTATGTACAAGCACCAATGCTTCGCAGCTACTTGTATCGCGTGCATATATCATGTATATATCGTGGATGATTTTTCGGAAATCGACGAAACAAAGTAACATATTGTATCATTTTTCGATCGCACGACAAACATCAGTAATTATACACTTGTCTTTTGTTTCGTTACAGTACCAATTCTTCAACAAACAATTCGACGCTTGAACCGTGACCTTCGTAGGATACCGCGTACCCGCTGTCATAACGAACAATTGGTTACTAGTTACTAATTACTAGTTACTGATGGTTACCGTCCGCGCGACACGACGCGACGCAGTCAAGGTAAATAGCAGCAAATAAGAATAATTTGATAGGGATCTCGTTGGAGTTGAAGGAACGGCTTTTGGTTGATCGATCTTGCTACATTATCCTATGTATGTACCTAGTCATATCGGACGTACGTCGAATAACTTTTACTCTTGAGATGGATATACTTGGACCTAAAATGTATCGGTCATCCGTAGAAACGTAGTAGCACGAGTAAGGACTTTGATTTCTTGCAGAAAATATCGATTTATTCGAGACCTTCTAAAGTGGCCTAATCCCATAACAAGTAAAACATAGTTGTCAATTTGTCTGTGTAATCGTTTAAGACATTCTAAAGAAACACGAACGAATGTGTTTAGTACGTGGCCTGTGGTTGCACGTAGAGTCGATGCAGTTGAAAGTAAAGCGACCAAGTGGCGAGAGTAAATGCGTTTTAAAAGGCGCTCCAAAAGAGAAAAGCATTTTTCCATGCATGTTCCTGCAAGTACAATCAAATTTAATTACGTAACGCGATGCGTGAGTCATCTGGACTATTCCAAGTCAATTATAGATAATGCTATCAATTTCTTCATATTATGCATCCGCTTTTTCTCTAAATTTCACCTCTTTTCTTGCAAACGTAACGCTGAAAGCGGAAATCTGGCTGCTTTCACTACCTGAAAAATAATAACAGGTTATCTCGTTGTACATCGTTTCGAGGAAAATAACTTTATTTATTCTCTTATTACTAGTATTATTATTACTAGTAAGCAAACTTATCGTTATTTGCGCTCGCTTCTGACGGAGGAAAAACGTACGCAAAGAACGTAACAAACGTCGATGAAAAATACGAACACGTTGTATAGGATATAAATTGTGTGTTGGAATCCGATACAAGCGATTGAGAGTTGAAAAATGTAATTTGTGTAAAAGTGTCGTGGAAAAATATCAGATGTTGCAACTAGGTGTATTTCGATGCACATGTATACATATCAAACATGCACAGTTGTACGCGTGATAGCTTAAATATCTCCCACTTTGGCGACATTTCCTCTCCTCGATCGCGTTGGAAGTTTGTTTGTTGAATTCTCGATAAAAAGTATATTGTTATAGTATATTTTGGAACGTATGCAGGTGTGTGCGTGTGTTGTGTACGAGACGATATGCGTAGAATCGTGAAAATGTAAGAGAATGGAAAGACGGAGACGACAAATATGTTAACGTTAAACGTAAGAGTTAAACGTAAGAGTACTGTGGCGTGTGAAAAGAGAGTTTTGCGTTTCGTCCCGGGACTACCGGAGGACTGGTCAGTAAGGCTATGCCCGGTAGTCCCTGCCTTAGACGTAGAGGGAGTCTCGCTAGGTGCGGTATTTGTATCAATCGCTCGTATATTCGACCGCTAGCGAGTTAGACAGACTCGTTGTCGTCGTAGCCCTCTAGTGTTGGCGGTTGGTACCAGCGGATCGCCGGGGAGGTGTTGCGCCGCGTTGATGGCTCGACCTGTCGGCGTCCTGTTGACTACCGATCCGCCACAGTACTTAGGAACGTAATAGCAGGCAAATCGCAGGAGACTGACTGTTTTTCTGGATAATGGCGGCACTAGAAAACAAAGTGTCCTTAAGATTCGCGCTAAGAACTAGTTTTCGTTTGCTAGATCACGATCTGCGTGATCAGAAACGAATAGTATCGTTGAGATAGAACTGCGTGGACAATCTTGGGCAATTTTCGGCAATCTTGGACAATCTTGGACAATCGTTGACAATCATCATCGAGGTGGAGAACTCGCGAAAAAGTTGATGCCACTTTTAAACCGAATTCCATTGAATTTCATTGGCCGGAATGATGTTTGCGTCCCTGCGAATCATCTCTTAATAATTAATTGGCGGAATTGGAATTGCGGAAAACATTTGAACGGTTGTTCATGTAATATCGCTTCGGCCATCATCGGTTTATCGGCGAAAAAGCGAGTCTCAGGATCTCACGTATTCCAAGTATAGCGACTGTATCGTACAAACAGAAAATGACAATCATATTCGATTGCGGAGCTACGCCGAATATTGAAATTTTCCAATTCTAGAACGTAAATTTCTTTGACCTGTCGTGTGTAAGTAAGTAAGTACCTGTCGTCGATCGATAACGTCGACCGTATTATTCTTCCCATCGAATGTTTTCCTTCGTCCACTTTGTCGTGTTGTTTGTCGCTTCTTCCATTTTTCACCTATATTCCCTTCTCTTTATTTCTTCCATCCTTCTTCCTAAAAATTCCATCTTTACCGTTCCGATTTTACACAGTACAACGGCTGTGAACCGTTTAAAAGGTGAAACGATCGTAGCCCCCTTTTCGATGCAGACGAAAGCGTGATAATACCGTGGGGTGACTGTAAGACTGAGGAACTGTCGCGAGTGTATTGCTACTTATCGTTAGATACGATACAATACGATACGATATACCAGTAACGGTTGAAAAGAAACGGGACCTCGTGGTAGGCATGTACCGAAGATCGACTGCATCGAAATCTAATGCGAGCAATTCGCCGTTTACGATCAATTACGATGTTCCCATTGTCATTATTGTTATCATTGTATTCTGTAATTTTCTATGTGTAAATGCGAATACACGCAACGAGTAACGTGCTCAATAGATTTCCTATCGAGATTAGGTGTCGAACGCGATCGATCATTCTCCGTGATATCTTTCGCAACTGACTTCCTTTCTCGACTAACTTTAGTCCGTTCTTCGATCGTCCGTTCTCGTTATTAAGTATGTATATTTCGTGTATCTCTTTCGAAGGATGTACTATAATAAAAACGATGCTACTTGATTTAATGTATCTTCCACCTTGTTTACGTCGTTTCGGATACTACAGGTTAACAAGAGGCACGAACAAAGTAATCGTTAATGAAACGAAACGCGAAATTTGTGAATGAAATATTGAATAGCGAAGAGCTACTGGGCTACAGCAGGAGGGATAACCGGTGAAACGCTGGACATGCGGCTTCGCTTCCCTAACCAAAATTCGCGTATCACGAAACAGTGCGCGAGTGTGTCGTACGTTTGATGAAACGAGTATCTGAACGAATAACCTTATCGTATTAATTATAAGGAACAACAGCGACAATAACAGAAAGGATGAACCAGTTGGAAGACTACGCGGAACCCTGCACATCGAACAGCGGAACATGTAGGTTATGCCTTCGCGTAGAAAATCGTTTAATATCGATATTTGACGACGGAGAAACCTCGAAACAGTTGCGTTCTCGCATTCGAGATTGCTGCCCCATAAGGGTAAGTAGTTTCCCCATACCTTTTACGTTACAATTTTTATTCTTTCTTTCTTCACCGCTTCATCGATCACTGCTTTTTTCTTCTTCTTTTTCATTTCTCGTCCTTTTACATGTTTGATACATGATGCTTTTATACGTAATTACATATATATATACACATGGTACGCTTTTATGACGCACTATTCGTCTATAGCTTTTTTATATATATGCATATATTTGGATTAGCTGTTCGAAGACGACAGACTGCCAAAGACGATTTGTCGCGAATGCGAAGGGAAGATAGCCGTTACATTCGAATTTCGCGAACAATGCAGAAGATCGGACCGCGTCTTAAGATTACGATACGAATCGTGCCGCGCAAACAAATCAGTTTCTATAAATGAATCCAATTGGAAAATCGGTTCGGTAAGTAAGAGTAATATACTTAATCAATATTGTGTAAGTTTAATGCAAGTTATTTTTGGAAACTCTGGGAAAGCACCGATTAAAAAATTACTTGGTAATTATATAGAAAGCGGATTTTAATGCTTTTCTAATGTGTCGCGATTGCAGGATCGCAACATTGCAAAGCATGCGTGTACTACGAGACCCGAAACGACCGACTCGAAAGCGCAAAGTACATTCGAAGAAAAACAGGAGGAAAATTCGAATTCAACGCATCTTTGGCGAAAAGCGGAAATCGTATGTGGCGAAGATGCAAAAACAGATGGAAAGACGATGGCGACATTGTCACGACGTCAGCGTGTCGAACGATGTCACGCTGAAGAAAGAAAAAGCGAAAACAACGAGGAAAATCGCGTGTCGAAAGAAAGCGGTGGCGATGACGATGGCGGTGGCGGTAACGTGTTTAACGTGCAAAGTTACGGTGATACTGCGACGTCCATGACGATGCAAGTACGGTATCTATGCGACATTTGCAGTAAAACGTTTGCCTCGAAATCTGGACTGCGATTTCACTTGAAATCGCACAATGCCGTAAAGTCTTATCCCTGTCGATACTGTGGCAAAAGATTCGTGATTCCCAGTTACACGAAGAGACACGAGAAAATTCACGCGGGTGACAAACGGTTCGTCTGTCAGTTTTGTAGCGCGACGTTCGCCTCTTCGAACGGTTTAAAATATCATTTGAGACTGCATTCCGGCGAGGCAAATTATCATTGTGAAATTTGTGGCAAGTCTTTTTATCGACACAAATATTTAAAGGAACACGTATTTACTCACACGGGAGAAAAACCATATGTTTGTAAGGCATGTGGTGCTTCCTATGCAAGTTCTGGCAGCTTGTTCGTTCATAAGAAACGATGTAAGAATAAGTAAAAGATATAAGTAAAATAAATAATATATATATAACGTATAATATATTATATATATATATTACACGTGTGTATAAAAGAACGATAATCTGTGACCCGACCCCACTGAATTTTATCGGGATCGGTACCGCATTCCGATACTATGATTCGAATCCTGATGATGATAATGATAATGATGCATATTAAAGAGCAAATTCGTTTCTTACGCATTGATGCAAAGGAAAGGGGGATTTCACAACTTGCGCAAGATAGTAGCGTAAGATGCACAATGGTTAAAGTAGTAAAGATGTAAACACCAGAGGAAAAAGTAATTTATTTATTTCGTACAAGGGAATAATTAACTGTTATCGTATCGAAATAACAGTTTTCTAGAACGCTAGATGGCGATGTCTGGTTTGACTCGCGATTATTTTCGTAGACGATTATACATATAGGGGTATATAAACGTTGAAATAGCTGGAACGAAGAATATTTTCCAAGGGACAAAGTCGCGAATAATAACGGCGATAATAATTAAAGAGGTAGCGTACCCGGGCGATCTATCGTTTAAGTTCGAGTATGTGGACCGCTTACGAGCAAACGAGCAGCTGCGATGCGACGATTAACAAAAGTCTTTGGTATGGAAAAAAAGGTGCTTCGATATCGAATCGAATCGAATCGAATCGAATCGAATCGAATCAAGTAAAACGCTATCGAGATCGACAATCAGAGTTTCTGCGTAAAGACATTTCCGATGATGCGATCGACATCCATCGATTGGTGTCCGATCGAAACCACGTAAGACCTAGGGAATATTTGCCGTTGAGGTTGGCGTGTTGACATCGACTAAACCACCACCCACCGCGATAGTTTCTCGCGCAATGAGTCGTGCTAGCGTCCATGTCTCGATCTTTCGCGCTGAATGACATACCGTTCTGATAGGAGAGAGCGTCAGTTGCGTTTCCGGAATACCCGTAGACATCTAACCTGTAACCGGTCTCCTCAGATTCGACTCTGAACGACTGATATTCCGCGCGCCAACGTTCTCCGTAAATGTCCAACATGTCGATTCGAAGGCTGGTGCAGTTGTCACCGTGATTGGTCAGCCTGTGAAGGATTTCGTTGCCGATCCAATACTCACTAACCGGAGAGCCGAACCCGACCGAATAATCGTTCCAGTTTCGATCAAAGTCGAGAGTCCCATCGATACGACGCGCTATTACCATCCAACCTCCGCGACAAAACACCAACATCGGTCTGCCTCCTTTGCCTGCTTCCGAAAGTCGCAGCCCGTCCATAGGTTCGTTCGCGGTCGTTTGTTCGCAATCGCCCGTCAAATTCTTCCCAATTAAATGATACCGATCCTCCAGGTGTTCGAAACTCGAGAACAACGAGTTGTCGGACGACAACGACGACGACGACGATGACGAGATGGTGGTAGTAGTTGTGGTTGTGCTTGTGGTTATGGTATCCGACGCGATACTCGACAAGTATCTCTGAAAATCAGTCGTCGAATGGATACCGTTTAATCGATCGATCGCCTCTTGTTGCTTGTCGCTCCTCTCTTGAAGCTTAGACGCGCTTACGCTTAACGCTTGCACGGTGCGACGTAAATTGCTTAGCTCTTCCCTGGTTAACGAAAGTTCAGCCGCTTTTCGAGCGGCATTTACATCGAGCCGTGTCAATTCTCTCCTCGCGAACGAGTTGTTCGTTTCCATAACGTCCTCGAGAGTTCGTAACGAGTCGATCAGTCGCGAGCCAAGCGATTCGTTCACTTTCTTCGTGAAAAATCCATTCTCGGTAATATTTGAAATTTTGCGGGACAATTCAACGTGACCCTTTTCCAAGCTTTTTATTCGTTTGCTCAAACTCGTCCATTCTTGATTCTCGTACGTGGCGATACGCTTTTCCAACGACGCTCGTCTCCGAGCCGACAACAAAATTTTACGCTCCAGACTCTTTAAACGATCGTCCAGCCGCGTTCGATGCCCCTCCTGCTTCCTTTTCCAATATCCATGTTTTCTCGCGAACCTGCGCCGAGGGGATCGTACACTGTACGACGCGGCAGCTGTAGTCTCGCGATCGCTATCCCTTGTAACCATTCCACTAAAATACGACGATACCGCTGCCGCCGTTGTTCTCGTCTTCCTTTCCGCTTCCTCTTCTCCTGGTCCTCCTCCGTTACGTTGAGTCATCGAATTTGCCACATTAGCGGAAAACGATTCGCATCTAAGAGATTTTACCTCAATTTGCATGGAATTCAACTGAAATTCAAATTATATCGTGTCATTAAACGTTACTATCAATTAGTTTCGTGTTATTATCCGCGTAACGTAGTTCTACACGCTTCAATAGTGTTCGTTCTAGAGTAGACGAAAATCTGTCAGGAATTTGCGGAGAATCGTATAGAGGAAAAGAGGCGATAGCGAGAGGCAGGATACAGGAGAAGATATAGGAAATAAAAGGGACTGAGAGAAAGGGACCGATGAAAATGAACCCAATAGCCAAGCAAAACAAAGACGAAAGTTTTGAAGAGCAGCTGCAGAACGATGGAACGATCTGCCACTGAAATCGATTTGGATTGGCTGGCGCACGGAGCGGCTGGAAACAGCAGGTGTTTCGGTTTGTCGGCATTCTACGTGCACGATGGACGCGATATATGTATAATACTTACGTACATCGAATTACTGAGTTTCTGCAGCTGTCTTAAAAGGAGGTAACTAAGTGTATGTATATGAGTACTTACAGCGCACAACCATTTGCGATCAGGGATACGACGAGAAAGGGGTGGGGTTGGTAGGAAGGGAAGAAGATGGCGAGAGAAAAAGGAAGAGAAAAAAGGAAAGGAAAGGAATAGAAAGAGTGGCAGATGCGCGTGCGATCGATCGGGCACGAGCAGGTGGCCACGCGGCGAACGCAAGAATGAACAGGATGGCAGAATGGAAAAAGAGAGAAAAAGAAAAATGTAAAGCTCGGGAGAAAGTGGAAGTGGAAAGGAGAAGGATGAAAAAAAGAGGACGCTGCAACGTTACCTGACTGGCAATGTCGGCGCAGGTGCGAAACAACAGACTAAAGCGTTCCTTCATCGCAGCGATATCAACGCGAATCGTTCCGAGAATCGCTTCGATTTTGGCGATTCTGCCGCCGAGATTTCCAATTCCTCTTCCAACCGCAGCTACGTCTCCCTTCAACAGAGATAGCTCGCCTTTCATTCTCGATCTCTCGGCAAATTCTTCGCTCGCGTTTCTTGTACGAAGAACTTGGGCAACTTCGCCTTGAAGTTCGGTCACCGCGCTTCCTAGCCATCTCACTCGCAACCTTTCGTTTTTCGCCTCGTTCCCGTTACCGCCACGTAGAGAGATCACTTCCTTTCTGAGAACGAGAACACACCACCACCAGAGCAGAGATCCTGCTCGTTAATTGGAAATCGACCAGCTATGGAGCGCACGATGCAACAACAACAAACCAACAAACATTTTCTTTTACCTCAGTTGTTTGATTTCGTTCTTTAGAACGAACAACTCTGTATTTTTCTCGATCGCACGCTTCAAGCTTGCCTCGAGAGCGTTGTAATCCTGTTGTCGATGATCGAGAAGAGCGTTTACTTGTTCCCGTAGCGACCTGATAGCATCGGAAACATTTTCATCGCCGCAAATTTCTTTCCGGGTAATAATCGCAACCAACGTTACGCACAACAGCCAATCTTTCCTATTCATAATTCGACTGATCGCGTTATTAGCATCGAACGTGAAACAGCATCGGCCAACTACAAGGATCTCTTTCGTTATTAGATATGACCTGCGGATCGGCGCGACGATAATTTTTTTTCTTTTGCGATCGTCAAACGTCGAACGTAACCGACTCGACCACCAAAACCTCACTGGCTTAACCGACAGCCGCCCTACCAGTTTTATATCGTCCTTCCCATGAAAGGTTGGGGGTAGAGAGCACAAGGAGCAGGTGTCCGCTTGCTAACGCAGTCAACGTGCTCCATGGCCATGCATTGTCTCGTGCCTGCAAGCTGTGCCGCCTTCGTCACACCGTTACCGATCCTTTACCACTCCACATTCTTCGGTTCGTCGAAATCTTCACGAATCATTAACGGCGTTCCACTCATCGATTAAGAAATTATATTTCCACATGGCCATACATTGCGGGTCAATTTCATTACCGCGCGTCGAATTTCGTCGTAAGACGGTTAATGAAAACAGGAAAAGTAAATCGAGTCAGAGAAAACTTGTATATATACGTATCTCATTTCCTTTGGTGTCCGTTTTTATGTACGTAAATCAGAGGATAATAGTTTATTTAAAATACAACTGTTACCCTGATAGAATCTAAAATTTGTATACTTTTACTGGAAATATGCACGATCCCGCACTTACGCACTTTTCAGTTGCGGTCTCGAGTCTAGTATTACATATGTATATTACAAACACCGATGTGATTCAATGCATCGTCACTCTCACGTGTCATCTCTACTTTGATCGAACAATCAGTTTCCAAAGCTAAAAGCATTTCTTTTGATTCGTCAAGAGCCTAACGTAATCCTCGAATGTAATCTTTCAATTGCTACATCCTTCAACTCGCACCATCTATCGTCATATTCTCGATATCCGTTGCGCTTTATCGGAAGACGCTAAGGGCAAGAACGTTAATAGACGATCGAACAATATAACTTTGCCGACGAAAAAATATATATCCTACTTAATGGAACACGGTCGTTACCGTGGTGGAGCACACACCCACCTCCTTTTAATAAATTACGATAACATATATATATATATTATATATATATTATATATAACTGTTATATATTATAACTATATATATTATATATATATATATTATATATATTATAACTGTTGGCACATAACGTGAATTTCGATAAAATTTTTATATATATACTGTTTCACCGTTTTTTATATACGAGTATATCCTTACCTATGGTAAAATTCTATGTACAGAAATAATAAAAATACATCATTTCAAAATTTCACGATCTCTATGCTAACACGCGATAGTATTAAATAAAATGGCACTCTCTTTCGTTTCTATGATGAATCGATCACGCACACACAGTCGTACACGCACACGCATAACAACTTTTTCTTTTTCATAATCATTCTACTCAAGTTCGATCGCACATTGACATCGTGTGTATTGTGGCAAAATCGTGCTTTGTTACGAATTAAATTTTTAAGTTTGTGCGGATCCATAAGTTCCTGTCGGTGGCCGATACAGTTTCGGAAATGTGAGGATCTGCAAGCTATTGAACGCGTATTTCCGAATTCCGATATTTTTCCACGTGTTTTCCCGTCGACATCCTTCGCTGCAATTAGAAACAAGTATTCTCAGTGGTACTGTTTTCCGTTTATGTATTATTAGGAAACAATAGTTACTGCTATCTAGTTGAAATTTCATATTCGATAGAAGAAATTAACCTTCGCATACAGTCGAGCGCTCTGATGTATTCGTGTTCGGCCAGATGATATTCGGCAGTCAAGATGTTCACTTGCTCCAGTGTTACCGACATCCCGGTGCGATCCTTTGCGCTTTTGCAGCTGGTAAACCTCAAACCGCGCATTCTTCGACAAATTTGTGAGGATAATTGTAACACCTCCACGTTTTTGTTTACTTTGGCCTGGACACTTGTCTTTAGATTCGTCATCAGTTCTGCTAACGTTTGGCCGAGCGGCGATCTTGCGCCAACTAATGGATTAAAATGATAAAACATAGAGAAAAGGTGAATGAACGAAAAGTATGTGAGGATGTAAGCGAATCGAACACCACTATACATTTAGATACTAAGATATTTAAAAAAAACGAATAGAAGAATCTTACGTCGTTTTGACGACGTTTCCGTTGGCAAATTCAGCTTCTTGAAACGCAAATAATACTCGTTCAGTCTTTCGAAATTATCCATATTGCTTTTTTCCTGTGGTTTCGTAGTTCCGAGACTCTCCGCCAGGGAAGCCATTTCGTTAATACCGACGTTAAAGAAGACCGGGGTAACATTGAAGGAAATCGTTTGCCTAGAAGAAGGAACCAACGGCAGCAGAGAATAGATCGCATCCGGCACAGGAAGTACCACTGTTAGTGCTGTTCGAGAACCGAGTACTCTTGGTAGTGGTTGTTGAAACGGAGCGTTACAATTTCCCTCGAACCTGAAACGTTTGTGCCACTATTTATCGTTGCAGAATATATTTATTCGCTTTTATGTATGCGGGATTCGTCAATATCCGATTGTCATGAACAGCTTGAATTAATACCGAGACACAGACGGCAATACTAACCTCGGTTCGATTCCACACCTAGTCAGCGTGAAAGTTACGGTATGCATATCTTCTACCGCTACAGTCATGTCTCCCCACATATCTATCTCGTCTCCGTAATAACTGACAAGTCCCTCGAACGAGACCAAAGGACCAAGGGTGGTCAAGATTAGAAGAAACATGGGATCGGGTCTTTGGCACCAAAGCTTTGCCATCAATCCCGATACCAAGCTAGTCAACTGAAATCATGATTCCAGATTATTACATGTATCGTTATCCAACTGTTAAGAAACTGTTAAGTGAAAGAATCACCGAGTGATGAAGTGATCGAGGGAAGCGTAATTAATCAAGTGAAGAGTAGTAGAGGCAAAAAGAAGGATATAAAAAACTTACCGCTTGACTAAAGCATACGTCTCGCCTGTACCGAACGTTACAAGCGCGTTGAGCCATTTTCGGATCCTCTTGCACTCTAAATACCGAATGCGTCAATCGAGCAGTTTTCAGCAATCCATCCATAGCTTGGCGTAATTTTTTCATACTCGGCCTGAGCTCGCTAGTCCAATCGACGATTGAGGCAAAATCTAAGCCTTCGGTGAATTTGTTCCTTTGTCCCGAATTGCTTTTAATCATTCGCGTCATCGAGTCGACAGCTTGGCACACTTTAAAACAAAAACAATACTGTGTTTACCCGTATACACGAACCAAGAATAAAATTACCGATTTATCAGTCGATACTTTTCTAATTTGTTTGTTCTTTTCTTTCTTTTATACATTTTCTTAGACTAGATTTAAATATTTAAAAAAAAACCTGATTTCTACATCTGCAAATATTTAAATATAGTAAGGATAACGAATCGTGGTTCTCACGCAGTAGAAACACTAGTTAAACGATAGGGATCAAAGTTGCGAAGGATTATCGACGATCTAGTTTTTTACCTTCTTTGGCTTTAGAAAAGGCTGGTATCTTCTCCGAACCTGGACTCGGTTGTTGTCGAAAATTCGAACGATTTTCCACAGATGCATCGAGTAACTTGCTCGATTCGTCGTTATTCTTAATGTCGTTTTTCGGTTGAATCGTCACAACATGAACAGTTTTGCTACGATTAGTCGGAGCGCATCCTTTCAAGCTATGCGATCTGCCTACGATATTTTTATTCCGCAGTCGTACAGCCGGACTACTACATCTTCCACAAAGAAACTTAACTTTCGAGACTAAACACATTACACTCGCCTCGATATTTAATTGGGTCAGATCCCACGGCTCGGGTTCGTCAGTAGGTTTGTAATAATTAGCAGACGGTGAATTGCACATCTTTTGAGTATCTAGGAACCGTTTGCATGGATCAATGTCGCCTTTGATATCCGCCTCTCGTTCCTCGTTGTCCTCGCATTTGCTAGCATTTGTAGCCGAGATAGTATCGCTAACGACGGGATTGTTCCCACTGTCGTTGATGTCATCGGCGTCGACGTTGACGTTTTCACTGGTCGACGTTTCTGCGCAAGTTTCGATAATTTCCGAATTTTTAGCATCGTTTTCGACATCTGGAAAAATAACAAAATTTTCTTCGTCCTTTCCATCGGTAACGTTATCTTGATTAGTGGTGTTAACGTGATGGTTCACATGAACGTGTTCGTTTTTCGAGGGAAACGAGGCCGTATAACCGTTTTTCTCGTTCTCTTTTGTCCACAGATCTCTCACACATTCCGGAGTATCGGGTGTAACGAAATCGTCAAAGTCCGGACTTTTCAAGTCAAAGTTCAACTGTTGCGTAATTCTCTTAAAAGGAGACAATGATTGGTTCGTTTTAAAGTCTAAATTCAGAGAGTTTTCGTTCGAAGTTTCATGAACCTTGGCTACTTTGTATTCCTCTAAAAAAGTTAATGCTTCTTCGACCAAGCCAGGATCCCACAGACTGAGCAAAATTCTGGTCTTTGTGATCATATCTTCGCAAATTGGTAACATTCCACTGGTTTGTTTGTCTTTCGCGAGTTTCATCAAAGCACGCATAGCGTCGACAACGTCTCGCCGGAGTTGCTTAATTGCTTGAATAGCATCGTGTGCCATCGTTATCTTCGATGTTCCTTGATACAACTGATTGCCACGCGTTGGCGATTCTTTTAGCGCTTGCAGCAACCTGTCAAACGGTATACAGTCAACGATATGAGGATATATTCTACATATTTACCTAATCATCTATCGATCTATCCATTCTCTGATCCACTCGTCCTTCGATTCTATTCACACTATTCAAACTCTATAGTTTATATATAAGTTACCTAATGAGTCCGCCGTTTTTACTTTTATGCGAATGCGCAGTGAATGCTCCGACAGTGATAAAGTCATAAAATCCGCATCTGTTTAACGTATCGTTATGCACCCACATTCTTTGAAGGTGTAAGTTGACAGGTGCAAATTCGAGCGTCCTATCGTTTCTGCGCGACGATCGCTTGAAATAACTTCCTAGAGATGTTATTATTTCAACGATTAGTGAGGCGCACGAGGTAGGGCGTTTCATATGGTAAACGTTTTCGTTTACCTTTGAACGCGGCCAAATTCTCTTTAGCTTGTGAATAAAGATGTAAAAGATGAAGATGGCGATCAAGCAATTCGATTTGCTTTGTATGCCAGGGCTCTCGTAGTTCACCCATGCCGGCTACTTCTTGCAGCAGTTCTTTCTCTTCTTGAATCCAAATTGCACTGTAGAAATGTAAAAAATGTTTTCTATGTTATCTACTTGATTCGTGAAGCAAGCTTACGCGAAACAAAATGTTACAGTAAACGAGGAATACTCACAGTAAATGCTGTGGGAATTGGAAACAAAGTTTACTCTCTGCCATGATTTCGTGTACACAAATATCGCCGCCTAAACCAGAGTGAAACCTGAAACGACGATGCACTCGATTCCAGAGAAATGTGACGAAAGGAGAGAAGAGAGAAAGAAAGAAAGAAAAGATACACGCAAATTTAATTTATTATTAAAATTGTACCTGTATGTTTGTATGTATGGATTAGCAAAGAGAAGCTTGAGTTGTCCTTGATGCGGCAACTTGATTTTGGTTCCCAATCTAGGTGGTAGTGATTGTGATCGTCTGTGCGAAAGTACCTAAAAAAAATCAACATACACACACACCGGAATGAAAAAAACAAAAAGAGGGACTATAGAACATGACAAATCTGGCGATGACAGGAAAATAATTGGCGATAGGTCGATGTTTACCTGATGATTCATTCCGCAAGAAGGTTCCTTGGATGGGGTACTTTCTGTACTGTTCCCTCTGTCTTCCGCTTCCAAATTCCACACGTTGATCGTCAAAAAGCCAACAGTTGTTGTTTTTGCCGACTTCAAAGGTATCCTCAATCTAAAAACGTTCGATCACTAGTCAAAGAGGTGATAGAATGAGAAAATTGGTAAGGAAATCAAGGGACGGGTGAAAAGGTCTGTTCGGAATTTTAGTTGGCCGTCCGTTTATGGCACGGACAGGCCCATTTCCCTCATTAGGAAATTCTAAATTACCGGTCCTCCCAGGGCAGTAAACGTAATGACTCGAGGCCAGGAAGAACCCAGGCAAGGATCAGCCGGAAGGGCACGCAGCAATTAAGCTTCAACCATCGGACAATACACACAGGACGACAAAGTCCCAATATATACGCAACTATAAGACTATATATCATATAGCAAATATATCAACTATAAGCAACGAAGAATACACACAGGACGACGCATGAAACAATTAAAGTTGAAACGGGTAGCATTCACTGAAGAATTAGCTGATGCTCAAGCGTTACTTGATAATTACGAGGAAGGAGGGGCAGTAACCTTCCTTAAATACCGTTTGAACGATTTAGAAACAGAATATGCCACATATAGTACAAATCAGAGCGAACTAGACGATACAGACGAGGGTCAAGCACGAAATGAACGCATAGCCATAAAGAATAAATTCTTGCAATGCAAAGCAGACATTGCGGACTTAATTGAGAGAGTTACGAGACCGAACAGACAACCAACTGACGGAAATATGATGAACACACCGAGCACATCATATGCAGGTCTAGTCGCGAATGAAGTTGCTTTACCTACAATTCAAATACCTACATTTTCAGGAGCCTACGAAGATTGGCCCGGGTTCGCGGATCAGTTCCGTTGCACGGTTCACGATAATTCCCGAATCGATGACTGTAAGAAATAAATATATCTCCGCTCTTGCCTAACGCAGGAAGCGGCTGATGCAATAGCATCGTTGTCAAATACAGCTCGTAACTACCCAATCGCCTGGGAAATTTTAGAGAGACTATACAACCAGCCTGCCAAGATCGTATACAATCATTTAAAAGCATTATTCGAGGTATCTCCTCTACAACGTCTAAACAAGCTACAGCTTGGAACTGCAGCGTATGCCGTAAAAAACACCACACTCTTCTACATGCTGATAGCGAGAACTCAAGACAACCAACTCAGACTAATTTAGCATGTCAATCACCAGGAATGTCACCGGATATCATTTTATCCACAGCGGTCATAAATATCAAGGATCAAACCAGGAAACCGCAAAGATGCAGAGTCCTGTTGGACTCCTGCTCTCAGGCACATTTCCTGACAACCAATGCATGTAAACGACTAGGATTAATCACCAAGGGTCAATATACCTCTCTGTGGTGCGAACCATATGACTTCACACATCAATCGAACGACTCGAACCAAGGTTCATTCACGAATTAGCGACTATACAGCAGACTTAACGTTTCTGCTGGTCGACAACGTTATACAAGCAATGCCATCAGAAAACATTGACCGAAATAGGTTAGAGCTACCAGGTAAGATTCCATTAGCCGATCCACAGTTCCACCGAGCAGCTGAGGTAGACAGTCTCATTGGAGCACAACTGTTTTGGGACTTCCTTCGCGAAGGAAGAGTCGATCAAGCAGACAAAAACATGCAGTTGCGAAATACAGCATTAGGTTGGATCGTCACAGGCGATACAGGCACAAGGAAGCAACCATCAAAAGCAACTTGCAATGCGACACTGAAGACTCTTCACGAAGAAGTGAACAAATTCTGGAATGTGGAAGAAGTCTCGTCAAATAAAAGTTTATCTCCAAAGAAACAATCAACTATTACAGTAGTTCCTTCCTGGAGTCAGGCACAAAGCTCTAATAGTAGTAATAATGCAAAAACGACTACTGATATAACAAAAGGAAAAACGAAAAGGAAGAAAGTTAAACAACATTGTAATAACAATATTGCTAATGGGAATGATGGTAGTAGTAGTCGGTCAAATTACCTAGGTGTATCTTGAATCGCGTTCAACGTCACGATCGCGCTTCCAATCGGTGTCGCCGTTTGACTCACGCGTTCCCTGACATCGTAAGCGGTTATCCTCACTTTGGTTTCCGTGGTTAGCCCGTCGCTAGCTCGGAAACTGACAGTCGTTAGAAAGCCGGGATTGCTGCTTCGCTGTGTGTGTTTATGTGTGAGAGAGAGGGAGAGATTGGTATGAAAACTAAGCAATATAACATACTGGAATGAGTTTGTTTAGAAATTTACCTCTACTACCTCTGTTCGCGCATATTTAATCCAAGTTTTTGAACTTTTCACTTGCACATCTACCTCTAGAACCGGATTAGGTGGTCGACCGTGACCGTCGCAAAGGAGGTTGTCGCATGCCAACGATATCTCGCATATCGGTATTTCGGCAGGATCTGAAACAAGGGTCAAGTCCGATGACAGCTTCGAAACAACTAGAATAATAAATACTTATTAGGAAGGATAGAGTAAGAGAAAAACGAAGATGGCGGACCTGTCGAAATTCCACGTTGCAAGCGTAACATTTGGATGTCGGTGTCGTGTTTGTGCCCACTGAACGCTTCTATGCGTTGCTGCAACGCCAATAACTGACTTCGCATACATTCGTAGCTGGCAAGCTGAAGGGCTTGCAACCAACTGTCCCTCTCCTCGGCCGAATTTGCACCTAACGCTTGGAATAAACCTCCGTCGAATACTGAAATCAATCCTTTCTTGCTATATTGCTGTCCATTGGTCAGACGTTACGGGCGTTGTTTCTTGAAACACCAAATGTGCTTACCTATACTGAATCCATACGGGATCTGATTGCTCGGTTGTTCCATGCGAACAAAACATTGTTCCAGTATTATCACACCTAAAGGCTCCGACCATTGCTCCCGTGATTTGAAATAAAACAATAGGTTTCCCCGTAATCTGCACCATCTCTCCAAACTTACTATGCAACAGAGAAGAGCGACAACTCCGTGTTAGTCTGTTAGCGTGTTTTCATCTGTGATGAAAACAGGTATTTCGTCCAAAGTTGCTTTCTTCTGTCTTTAGGAAGAAAGAAACGGGCTAGAAAAGGATATATATGTATGTACAATAAAATAGAAAGGGAACAGAGAATAAGTCATAAGTAGTGAGTTGAAGATATTCGATAAAGTTACATTTACGCATCCAGGTAAATACATATACGATATACATGTACATACACATAGGTCACAGAGGTAAATAAATGGAAAGGGATGAGCGGAGATCACACGACAGGCTGTGGCTGATTGTCTACGCTATTGTTTTACGGAGATACGATTTCCAGGCATTCGTCAGACAAGGCAACTATGCGATACACTAGTAGAGTAAAGAACATACATTTGTAGAACTAAGAAAGCTAAGAATGCATGCGATCTATAACAATATAGGTAGAATAATAAGGTTTATGTGACGCGGACGCGGAATCGTGCTATTCTATCGAGAGATTAAGGTGAAAAAATTAAGGGAAAATGTTAAAGGAAGACACGCGTACGAGTAAATATGGTATGCAGTAAAAGTAGAGTAGCACCGTGCCCGATGGGAATGGCGGTTGGATATGGCGTGATCGAGGAAAAGAATATAAGTATCGATAAACGTGACAAAAGGACGAACGAGATCTCGATCGACAGAAATCAATTTGATTTGATTCGATTGGACTGAAGTTAGCGCGTAACGAGAAGCGTGTTAATCGCGATTGATCGAGTTAAGACAGTGTGAAGGAGAAAATTTTGGATGAAAAACAAAAAAAACTCCAATATACCTTTACTCGTACTGGCTGTAACGCAACTGAGGTCTCGTAGTGTCTTATGTGTTTTTCCCTTTTGATATTTGTTGTCAGATTTTTTACCTGTACCTGCAAATTATACGTAGCTACAGGTAGCTTAATTAACGTGCTCTAATATCTGAACGCAGTCGGACGTGGCTGTACACTAAGCGGTACGTTTTCGTCTTTTTATTCCTTGATACAAGCTGTTTTATTCGTCTCGCTTCGAGTCATAAAGGCGATCGTATACGTCATACAGTATATACAATATATACAGTATACATACTACAAGCTACAGTCGAAGATCGAACGCTACCTTCTTCCCACCCGTCTTCCCTTGCCCCTCTCTCACTATCCAATTTTGTTTTCTCCTTTTTCTTATCACGTCTGTTGCAATACGCGTTGTCACTTGTTACCGCTCTCGAGTCGATCTCAGCCAGAAAAACAAGGAACATTTTCGAATATGTTGTATCGCGGTAGCTTTGTTTAGCGATCATAAGCGATTCGATCGAGTCGCAGCGAGACGGTTTCAATCCATGAACGATCGTGCACACGTCCGACAGGAGATTCTTCCATCGATCGTCAGTCACAATTTCCAAGCATGCTCGATTCGCAGAAATCAGTTTTTAAAACAAAAAATAGGAAAAGAAAATAAAAATATAATTGACAAGTCCACAAACTTGAAAATAGAAAGTACAATAAATCTACGGATGTTAAGTATAAAATGCAACATACTATATGTATAAATATATAGAAAAATATGCATATGTGTATATGCATACACGATATATATGTATACATACGTATATACACACATACATATACAAACACAGAATATTCAAGTAGCTACGCGACATACCGAATTCGTTAATTGCCATTTAATGCAGGTATAAAATCACGATTTTGACTTTATTATGACATCTTGTAAGATGTTCTGGTACCGTGGATAATAGTATTCTAACACATAACAGTATCTTTCAATCATCTTTTTTCAAACTATTTATTGAAATTAGATGCATATTGTATTAAAATCTAGTATGCGCCATCAGAATGACACACCGTATCAAAATTGTGTTATTATTATTATTGTTGTTGTTGTTGTCATATCTGTTAATAAGGTAGCGATATTTGTATTAGAATGTATTAATATCGAATAATTTTCATACTCGTCCAGTAGGTGATATTTTAATCAAATCATTAAACAGCCACGGTAAATCTTTGCAACAACAGCAATAACAGCAAGGATAATATCAAAAGGATAAACATAGGAATAACAATGTAAATGAAACAATGTTTCGCTCTTAGTACGTGTACATGTGTAAATAGGAATACATATGTATTCGATTCGGGATGTTTCGTAGCTTCGACGTGTGTAAGTATGTAATATACGAAAGGTTTTTTAAATGCTTATGCATTCGAAAGGTTTACACGAGAGCTCGACAAATTCTTCGTACTCGGCTGAAAAGGGAGACAAATAGCTTGAAACGGATAGCGATATTTGACGCTTGACGATTCGTTGATACTTGGGAAATTATTAAAAGAGAAGAAAAAATGGTATGATCGTTTGGCTTATACAGACGGCGGTGACGTCAGCGTTGAAGTCAGCGGCGAAGGTGAGGGCAGCAATGGCAATAGCCGCGTAAATCGGTGACTGTAAACGGGCGTCTTATGTTATACACGCGAGCATTGTACGAATCTCACAAAACTGAAAAATCTCACCAACTGATAATATATGTACGTGATGCGCGAATCGTATCCTTTTGGAAAACAGATGAAAGGTTGGCTCTATATTAAATACAAGACGAAGAATTTGCGTATCACGTGAGTTTATTTTCAATGATCAAATATACAACTTAGATAAGGAAAGAACATGCGTTGATTGGAGCATTTAAAATTACATGTACAACGTACAATTGAATCGATGAAAAAATAGGCGACAAATACGCTAATATTATTTCTATTTGTCAAGGACTAAATCTGATCACTCACTCTCAGTTCTGCGAAAGAAGCCTTCTTGACGTTCGCGTACATACAATATACCCTCCTTCTCGAATTTCTGTGAAGGTTGCGTAGCCAGGGTCAACAATTCTTGCTTGTTAAACCGCATCGCGGAAGGCACCCGTCTACCCGTGGGTAACTTCCACGTTATCTGCGATCACGTACTCTTCTTTCTTGTTATCTATCAAGAATAAACATTTAATGACACGTGTATCGCATCTCTTTCTTTCACGGTGTTACGTCAAATTTCCAAAGTAAAAAACGAAACGAAACGGAACGGAACATGGAACGAAATGGAAACGAAACGCGGAATAGAACGTAGAACAGTGGAATAAAACGAAATGGAAAACAAAGTCATCTAATCCTTATTCCTAATTCTACTGAACGCGAACGAATATAAAGATCGATCTCTGAAATCTATAACCTATATTGTCCCATACACACCTTGTACTTTTTTCTCATCTTTTTCCTTTTTTCTCCTTCTCCCCA